CGGGGATATCGCCAAGGCGGATGAGTTCAAACCGGACGACGACGAGGAGAGTCCGGCGGAGGGCGAGCCCACCGCCGAACCGGCGGCTGAAGCCGCCGCCGAACCGGCCGCCGCGGCGCCGAAGGACGGCTTCTCCTCCGAACTTCCGCCGGATGTGGAGGCCCAGGAGGTTTTCATGCCTGCACTTTCACCTTCCATGGACTCCGGCACGGTCGTGGAATGGAAGAAGCAAATCGGGGATAGCGTCGGCGAAAATGAGCTCCTTTGCACCGTTCAAACCGATAAGGCGGTGGTGGACTACACCAACCCCTTCGACCCGGGGTTTTTGGCGAAGATCTACTGCCAGAACGGCGAATCCGCGGAGGTCTCGAAGACCATCGCGTTGATGGTGGCCAGCGCCGGGGATGTCGCCAAGGTGGCGAATTACCGCCCCGAGGGGGCAGTTGGGGCTTCCGTCGAGGCCGCCGCCCCCGCGCCGGGAAAGGCCGAGGCCAAAACGACCGAAGACAAAACCCACGAACCCCCCAGCGCTCCAGAGCGGTACGGCGACTCGCTGGAGGACACGATCCACTCGAGCGGCCCCAGCGTCGTGCGGCTCGCCAACGGGCTCTCGACGAACGTCCTCGAGGCGATCGTCCCCTCCGGGAAGGACGGGCGCTTCGTCAAGGCCGACTTTATTGACCAGCCCGGATTCGACTACAACGACGAGGCGCCAATGCCGAAAGTATCCCCCGCCCCCTCCGCGGAGTCCGCAAAAGCCCAAACCTCGGCCCCTTCGGCGAATATCTTCGATCTCGTCCTCGAGGCCGGCCCTATCCTGAAGGCCATGGATGATACCAAACTCCTGAAGAAACTCATCTCTACCATGTCCCTGCCGGCGCCCAAGAAGGGCGGTCAGTAAATAAGGGGAAAATATTTTAAAAGAAACGTATGCAAATATATATCTATATCTATAAGGAAAAGATCTGAGCTGAGGTGAAAATTTTGATAAGTGAAGTATACGGAGGGAGAATGGGGGAGGACAACAGCAAAATCAGGGAAGAATGTGGACAATCCGTATTGAAAAGCGGTTCAAAGGAACCGGCAGGATCAATTACTAGTTTTTAGTCTTGATTATGTATCTTCTCGAGAACTTAAGAATAAAATAAATCGTACGAAAGAAAACAGGTTTTAAAAGAAGCTATGTGAAATGGTTCATCTGTATGAAGAGAGTTCATTCATTTTTTAGTTTCAAACTTCTTAGCGAGAAAAAGAAAGCTTATTTAGTCCGGTTAACCTAAAAAAATGAGGTGTCCAAACATATGAAACAGTGGATAGTGGGGTATAGTCGATTGTAAGTTCAAAATGCCTAACGGATTTCCTGATTTTGAAACAATAATCTAGCTTGACCTTCGATACCATCTTGTGTGTTTTTTTACTTGGTGCATTGAGTCTGAACTTCTAGTAATAAAAAACACGATACACGATCTAATAATGTTATTCTTAAAAAAAAAAAAGGCGTAGATTGTTGTTCTCTGAGCTCTAGAATATAAATCCTATACTTCTCAATTATATAGCACAGCATTTTTTCACCGGTACTACTTTAATGGTTGTATATAATATCATGAACATGTTGAATTAATCGGAGTCGAAATTTGAAACCCGCCATGGTAGTGTAAAAAAAAACAAAAACGAAGTGGGATTCGAACTGTCTCTGCCACTGCCCTACATCCTTCCGAGGTGTATCGATGCAAAGGATCTCTCTTTTTCGTGGTGTTTCCTTCTGTTTCTTTTTGCACCCCTTGAACTGACTAGAAATCACCTTAGTAAAACCACCCACCCACCACACCGCGAACACACACACACACACACAGAACATTTATTTTTTTACAGAAAAAAAACACCTCCGTCTGGGCCGATGTCGTCTGTTGCCGAGAAGATCTGTCGCCAAGTGGAGTTCTACTTCAGCGACGTCAACGTCGTCAAGGATGTCTTCCTGAAGTCCAAGATCGCCGAGGACGTCGAGGGCTTCGTCCCGCTGGAGGTGCTGCTGACCTTCAAGCGCGTGGCCGCCCTCACGCGGGAGCCCGGCGAGCTCGCGGAGGCCCTGCGCGGGAGCCCCGAGCTCGTCCTCCGCGCCGACGCCCGCGCCGTCCGGCGCCGCGCCCCCCTCCCGGCCTCCCACCAGACCGACGCCCAGACCGTCCACGTCAAGCCGATCCCGCCAGGGGCCTCGCTGGAGGAGCTCCGCGCGTTCTTCCAGGCCCACGGCACCGTCCTCGCGGTCTGGCGGCGGCATTACCAGCGCGGGAGCGCCCCCGCCCCCCCTGAAAAGGCCGATTCCGAGGAAAGCCGCCGGAAGCCGTCCGTCTTCGTCGTCTTCGCGAGCGAGGCCGAGGCGGTCGCCTTCCAGGCCGCGCCGCCCGCCCTGAACGGCGTCCCCCTGACCGCGCGGATGAAGCTGGCGTATTTGGAGGAAAAGGCCGCCCTGGCGGGCGCGAAGGGGCGGGAGCGCCCAACGCACCGCCCGGCGGAGTCCCCGACGAAGGCCCCGGGGCGGCCGGAGGCCCGGACGACGCCGGCGATGCCCCCGGACAGCAGTTTTGCCATCCGCGGCTGCGGGGAGTTGAAGAACTTCGCGGACGTGAAGGGGCTGTGGCCCGCGGAGGACCACAAGGGCGTGCGCTACGTCTTCACCCCCCGAAGCGATGAGGCCGTCGTCATCTTCCAGGACGCCGAGACGGCGGCCCGCATGGTCCAGTCCGTGAAGGACCGGGCGGCCACCCTGAACGGCGCCCCGCCCACCCTGACCAAAGTCGAGGGCGCCGAGGAGAAGAAACTCCTCGAGGACGTCGAGAAGGAGATCGCCGATCGGGCGGTCCTGCACGCGGCCTCGCGCGGCCGCGGACGGGGCCGTGGCCACGGCAAACGCATGAG